AAAACTGCTGTTAGACGTGCTGTTAAGAAATCATCAGGTCACAAATGCTCCACCTGTGGAAGATCTGGACATAATTCCCGAAACTGCCCTCGAAAGAAGAAAAAGAGAAGTAAGAAGTCTAAAAAGGGTAAGGTTAATCTTGCTACAGTAAATTTGAATTCAGATTCAAGTACTTCCTCCGATACTTCTTCTAGTGATAGTTCTGACTCTGATACAAGTTCAGAGGATTCCTCCGATTCTGGAGGTGATATTACCGTTAACATAGCTAAGTCAAAAAAAAAGTGAAGCAAGACTCTAGTTCCAAGAAATCGTCCCTTAAAAAGACATCTAAAACTTTATTAGAGGAAACTATTCATAAAGTCCTCCAAAGTGAACTTAAATTAATTTTTCCTGATCATTTTTCCCAAGACCCCATTAAAGCTAATATACTCAATCAAGCGCCTCTAATCCAGGAAAAGATAGAATCTCAATGCAATACTTCTCCAATTACCGAGGTTGTATCGCTAGATCCAGATGAGGAAGAAGATTTGGATGGTCCGATGGAGATTGATTTCGTTAAGAAGAAGGAGCCAAAAACAAGTATCGCAACTGTAAAGTGTAAAATTAAGCGTTTAAAGATTCCAGCCATGACAGTGGACTCTGGGGCTAAACCTCCCATTATAACAGAAAATATTGTTATACGTGTGGGAGCTAAAATTGATAAATCTGAAACACATGATCTTAGTGGTATTGCCACTGTTCCGGTTGAATCTGTTGGGGTTGTTCGCAAATTACTTATTACTCTAGCCCCAGGCTATACTATCAATGAAGATTTTATTGTTGTGAAATATCAGAAGCCGACGTTAATATTTTCTAATCAGCTTTTGAAAAAATACAATTGCGCATTGGATTGGAAAACCAATGAGCTAAAAATTCCTCTTAATGGAAAAGATTATATTATTCCAGTCACTATGCATAAGGTCAAGAACAAGCTTGAGGTAAATTGCGCAAACATAACTCCGGATTGTGACGATTTCTCGACTCTGGATAACATATCACAGAACTCACAGAAGTTGAGTAGGTATGATGATGTATTAAAAAAAAACGCATGAGCTATGAGGAGTTTGAAAAAATATTGTATGATACTCTCATTTCCAAAGCTAAATTAATTGAGATTAATAAAAACCTCCGATCTCTTTTCCCTGTTAACTAAATATTCTAGCTTAGCGAAGTGTGTTGAGAATTATTTTTACTGAATATGTTGAAAAGGTGAGTTGAGAGCAAAGAGCTTTTCTGATTCACGCATAGATTTTTCTGATTCTATACGATCTTTTTTAATCGAAGCAATTAGATCATGTGAGACATCTAGTAAGGAGTTTTGGCAGGGACCCACTGCCAAAATTTCAGGTAAGTCAGAATTTCGAATGGATCCGGACTTTAACAGTTTCTTTTTCTTTTTTTGCTTTTCTTGCACATTCATCTCAGCGGATGATGGTTTCAGAGGGACCCCCACGATCTCAGATGATTCTTTTGGAGTTGACTCATCAGGCGCTTCACAAGGCAGTTTAGTATGAACTTCTGAATCATTCTCTGAAGAGATGGAATGAGCTCTCCTAAGCTCCTCAAAGGAATGGTTTTCATTTTGCTGTAAGCGCTCGCAATCGTTCCATATATCATAAACGCGATTTTTATTGATATGATATTCCCTTACTATTATATACGTGGGAACTTGATTTTTGAGATATCTAATCTCTCCAATTTGCTCAGAAGTCAAGACTGTGGCACCTCGTCGATAATGAGTTTTAAAAAATGATGTAGTCATAATCCCCAAT